TTCGCTGATGGATAAACAACCCCGAATGGCAACTGTCAAATGCTTTCTATTAGTAATTTTAAGGTTAGGAGCAAGCAGGGGTAGCAGTAGCTCCGGCAGGTGCCTCACGGCGTTCGGGGTGTGTTTGCACACCTGGGCTGCTTCTGGGAGATGCTTTGGATCGCTTGGAAGCGTGAGGCTGCGTGCAACGTTCCAGAGAAGCTGTTTCTTGCCTTTGACAGCCAGTGACAGCCACAACGCGGTGAAAAGTTCAGAGCGTCGATGCAGCTCCACCAAGCATTGCGTTGGGAGAGCTGGAAGCGCTTCTTAACTTCAGCCGGGTCGGATTTGCCTGCCCCCGAGTAGCGACAAACCTGGCTAAAGCCCAGCGTGTGCTGAAACTGCAGGAATTTAAAACATGACACTGTTTACGTCGGCTTCAAAAAAGCATCATGAGGAAAATAAAAAAATCCTTGTGGTGGCGGAGGGAGTGTTTGTGTACGGGCTGAGCGCTGCCCACTGGCACGTTTTAATGAGCTCTTTGAAACAGTTTTGCAATTGATCTCCCCCTGCCTGTTGTCACCTGTGGGTCCTTGTCACAGTCCAAACAAGGCTACAGTCAACAGCTGCCTCCCTCCCTGTCCAAGTTAAACACGGATGCTGCTGGTTCAGGCTCAGTTGTTCCTAACACCCGTTCCCAGTTTTGCTGAGATAAACTCGTGGGTGTGGTGCTGGGTGGGAAAGGATGTTGGTTTGAAGGGCTTCCGAAGCACGGATCTGCGTTAAGTTTGCATTTTAATTAAGCCAGACCAGTACGTGCTTACTCTTTTGCCCGGCTTGCAATGAGGAGAGGTGGCACAAGGGTGACAGGCCCCCACGGAAAGTTTGTGCTGCACAGCGAGAGCTGCTGACTGCTTTCCGACAGACCTGAAGGCGGATGGGGCGAGGAAAACTGGGCGACAGGCTTCATGAGATGATTTATGCATGTTGCCAGAGATCAGTAAGACTCTTCAAATGCTGCAAGACTGGAAAGAAGTAGTAAGCTCTGTGAAAATATGCTTCCCTAAAATGGTGCGTGTGCTTCAGAACGGAGTTTCATTGGTATATCGCTTTATTATAAGCAGTATCCGTGTGACATAGGCTTCGGAGGACCTGTTTGCACAGAGAGGACTTGCTCCAGGACCACAATCATTGCCTAGCAGGGAGCTATGGAACAAGTACTTCTTCTGTGACTGAATAAATAAATAAAGTTGCACTAAGTTGGCTTTTCATCTCTGTACAGAAACGCTGAGGAAGAGGAGCCGGTAACAGCTATTTTGTTATTTGATGTTTAGCTGTGTTCAAAAGGGAGCTTGTAAACGGAACTGGCTGAAGGGCTGGCTGAAGCTCTCTCCTGTTTGCTGAGTCAGGCCCTGCGTGCCCTCGGCTGTGCTTGGGGCTGGGCAATGCTTGGTCGCAGCCTGCTCCTGTAAACAATTAGTATCACCTGATGTAGGTGTAGTCCAGGGCTTAAGGTAAGCCAGAAGTTCACATACCTCCTGTAAGGAAGGAAGCCTGGCAGTACAAGGAAATTACAAGAACAGACTCGAAGAAACCATCTGCAGCTGTTGAGAAAAAATAGCAAAACGCAGTAAGACAAGTTGCTGGAGCCTAACAGATGAGTTCTTCCCCAGTTCTGGTTCTAACAGTCGTAGCCAGCCACAACCCCTCACTGCGGGACAGGAGGAAAGATCCCCTTGTCTTTACTTCCCCCCCCGTGACTCGGCTATGCTGATGAATACGATACAGACAGATGGGAGAAGTGCAGAATTTGTACCCCTTCCCTTCATCTGCCATTGAATGTCTTTTGGGCAAGGTCTTTAGTAGCAAAAGTAAACTTTGTGTCTTACTACTGCAGCTCTGTGAACCTCGTTCTGATACCTCTGGCACCAGCCACCTTTCAGGCAGTGGCAGTTAAACATCCTTGTGCACCAGCCTGCTCTACTGTGACCACCCCTATCCTACAGCCGTGTTGACCTTCTCACATAGTTGAGGGAAATCCTTTTAATTGCCCGGGCTTGCTGATGGTTTTACACGGGCTGGTTTTATTTCCCTAGCGATTGACGAGTACAAGCCCCTGGATGCCACCACCAACCCCTCTCTGATCCTAGCTGCTGCTCAGATGCCAGCTTACCAGGAACTTGTGGATGATGCCGTTGCCTATGGGAAGAAACTTGGCGGGTAAGCAAAGAAGCTTGGGGTTCGGTTCTTTGTTTGTTTGGGTTTTTTTAATCTCTGTAATCTATATTTAAGATACCTTATTTATACAAGTAGTGTTTAGTACTACGAGCGATGCACCGGGGTTTTCCCCTCAGGTACTCGTGGGTGTATCTCCTGCCCCAAAAAGGCTCAACCCTTCAAGAACGTTTCAGATGTGCTTTGAAGAAGCACGTGTCTGTTTTCAGTTCACACGTGGCTGCCTAGGACTGCTCAGGAAAACATTCCTGAGCTGACAGCGTCATAGGAAATAGCATCCGAAGGCTAATCCTGCTGGTGGTACAGAGAGGGCAGAACACAGACATGGAGCGGAGCAGAAGTAGCTATTTGAACTCTGGAATTTAATGTTAAACAGGCTGTGAAATCTGATCTTCAAATCCATGGCAAGGTGTGAACGCGTTTGGGTTTCGTTGGGTTTTTTCCCTCCATAGAAATTATTTTGCTTTTTGTGGTTTTCAGGTCAGAAGAGGAGCAGATCAAAAATGCTTCTGACAAACTTTTTGTATTATTTGGAGCTGAAATACTGAAGAGGATACCTGGCCGTGTGTCCACAGAAGTAGATGCAAGGTTGGCTCTTTTTCCTCTGGGTTACCCTGCATATTTGTACCTACAAAAGACATGGTGCGAGTTGGAGAAAAATGTTCTTGACTAGGCAGGTCACTGTTAGAAGACTAGCAAGAGTTTATATTGTTAACACTTGTTTAGTTAGAGCATGGATTTTGCTTGATTATAACACTTTGACAAAACTTTCTGAACACAAGTAATGCTGAGCTTGGATTTTTGTAATCTTCCTGCTGTAACTTAAGCAAGGGAAACCTCATGCTTGCTTAGAGTTTTGCTCATTCTCTTCTGTATGATATCTTTTCAATTTACCAAGAGATGTGTTTTAATATTTCAAGTTTATAGGACTTGTCTGTTAACCCACTCCTTGCCAATTCACTTCTAATGCTCAGCTTCTCAGAAATGCAGTTTTAAGCAGTCTTGCTCTTGTTTCAAAGGTTGTCCTTTGATAAGGAAGGAATGATTCAACGGGCCAGGCGCCTCATTGACCTTTATAAGGAAGCAGGAATTGGTAAAGATCGTATTCTCATAAAGCTCTCTTCAACATGGGAAGGAATCCAGGCTGGCAAGTGAGTGTTTCTGTACCTGGTGTGCTGATTCATGGCACGCTTCTGTTCACAGGCACCTGACAGCCGCGTTCTGCGCTTAAAGAATTGTTTTGAAAGCGCTGCACCAGGAAGTCTGTTACAAGCAAGCAAGGCGCTCTGCTAGCGTTCTGCTGAAATAGGAAAAGTTTGTTCCTACAAGAGCCAGGCCACAGAGAGAGTTTCCTGAAATACCACCCGCACTTGTCTGCCTTAAATTCAAGAAACAGCATTAAATAAAGCACAGTCTGGCAGTGCAAAACAGTTGCTGTTAGCTTAAAACTTTAAAGCTTAAACTGTACCACATTCCTAATTTAGCTCCAGAAATTCAGTAGCTTTAACCTACTAGCTTGTTACTAGAATGTGAATTCAGTAGGTGAGCAAACTGCTGTTTTAAGCCAGCCTGTGTCTGCAGGGTTCTGGAAGCAGAGTACGGGATTCACTGCAACATGACCTTGCTGTTCTCCTTTGCTCAGGCAGTTGCCTGTGCTGAAGCTGGAGTTACTCTGATTTCCCCATTCGTAGGACGTATCCTGGATTGGTACGTTGCAAACGGGGAGAAGAAAACCTTCGAGCCTTCAGAGGATCCAGGTAAGCTTTCTTTTTAACGTGTTGTTAAAAATAAAATAGCTACTCGCTCAAACTACGGTTTACTTGTATAAATCCTCTTAGGAAAAAATGTTTGGTTTGAGCATGTTCTAAATAATTGCTTGTACTCAGATGAATTATTCTGAAAGCTGCTGTTTTCTCCTTTTTAGGAGTGAAGAGTGTCACTAAGATCTACAACTACTACAAAAAGTTTGGCTACAAAACTATCGTGATGGGTGCTTCGTTTCGAAATACAGGAGAAATAAAAGCGCTCACAGGCTGTGACTATCTCACTATTTCACCCAAACTTTTGGCAGAGCTCAGCAAAGAGTACGTCAAGTTAACTCCCACGCTCAGTGTCAAAGAGGGTAAGTCCAGTTCTGTGTAACACGGGCTTGCTCCATCTCGTCTTGGAAGTTAAGAGCGTGTGGTCCCACACAGCTTTGTGGTGCTTGCTCCCACTCCGCTTTAAGGATAAGTCTTAACCCTGCTCTGAAGTTACTGCCTCAGTGAAACAAGTAGCTCTAGACATGTCAAAAGAAGTATTTTCCCTCCAGAAACTCTAGAAATTCATGACAGGCAGGACTATGTGATTTGATGTAGTGACACTGCACCACAATGGCTTTGAACATGTGTTCCCATTGAACTGCTCCTGCTTCTCTGCAACCTTACGAAAATGCTGCTTTAGGATTGGGGAGACAAGTTTTGGGCACAGCTGTAGCCACGGGTTGCTGCTTCCAGGGTGCTCACTGGCTGAGAGGCTTGTTATCAACTGAGCTTTTGTTAGGTGCTGCCAACTCAAAGGCCCAATTGTTCAGCATTTTTGCTTAGAATGCCTCCCTGCGGTTTGACCATTGCATAATTCTTCATAATAGGCCTGAAAGTTCCGTACCGTTCAGCAGCAGATACAGTATTTGTGTGTAGGCTGATATCCTGTATTTTAAGAGAAGCTGATTATCTAGGTTACCTTCTGGGTGGCTTTTCTTTTTCCCCAAAAACCAGACCACGAGCATTTTCCTTCTTGGATCCCCAAGGGTGCTCCCATAGCGAGTCATGGTGACTGTGGTGTTTGAGATTTTTCAACAGCTGGAGATGGTCAGAATCTTCAGCCTGTTTTGGGAAGCCAGTGGCATTCGATGACAACTTGCTAACATGCTTTGTCTCTTTTTCAACTTCTCTTGCACAGCTCAGGCGTGCGCGCTGGAGAAGATCCACCTGGATGAGAAGGCATTCCGCTGGCACCACAACGAAGACCAAATGGCTGTGGAGAAATTATCTGATGGCATCAGAAAATTTGCAGCAGACGCAGTTAAGCTGGAGAGGATGTTAAAGGTAGGTGCCTTCTGCCGCCTCTCATGTTTCTCCCAAGCAGCACAGCTAACTCGCCGTTCCCCATGGCAGGGCTGAGCATTTAGGAACCTGTAAGCAGGTCTGATCAGGTCTTGGCACAGGTGGTGCACGTTATGTCGGGCAGGCAGCTAGCAAAGCTGCTACCTAAATTAAATGAACTTGGTATAAACTTCACTGCATCTCAAGCGAACACTCATGCCAGATGTGTACAGCCACGCCTGCTCTCTGAGGCCCAAGGCAGTGTTTAACTGGCAGGTAATCAAGGTAACGCTACAGTCCAAACGAAGAGTCCCTTACCTCTCATTCTAAACTCTCGTTAGCTGTCAGCGGCGGCACAAGACACGTAAAAAACATCTTCAGGTAGTGAGCTGAAACAGAATCATGCTTGTACTTGGCACTAGGAGGCACCAAGGATGGATCTGCTGAGTGCAGCCAGGCTTGTGAAAGTCTTCTGTCACTTTTGGGAGAGTCTTTCAAATGGGACTAAATTATGTGTTTTCTTGGAGAAAAAATACACACTGAGTATGTCTGATGTAGGCCCTTGCTGTTATTGACTGACGACTACGTCATAGCGCCCCTGCATGGCTGAAGTCCAGTTCCCAAACTCAGCTGCTGCTTAACTTCTCTCTTTCTAGGAGCGGATGTTTAGTGCTGAAAACGGAAAGTAGAAAACTCCTGATGTTCCCGAGTGGTCAAGGCTGAATGAGTGGATCACCTGAGGTTAAACGGATGTACAGATGTCCTACCTGTAAAAGTCTTATGCTATTGTATGGATAGATTTCTGTATCATGCTTTTTTTATCAATTTGCAAAGGGACAATTAGAATTTCAAGTTTTTGTGGCACTTTTGTCAATACATGCAAATTAACACAGTCTTCCTTTGTAACGTGTTCATTTCACTGCTGCATATTTTTTTCTTTTATTTTTTTTTACTTTTTGTATTAAATTCCCAATTAAGTCTGCAGTCCTAACACATTAAGAAAGCAGTTTTGTCTTTCCTGTTGCTTTACAGTGACTGAAGAGAAGACAGGGCTTGAACTAGATGACTTTTAAAGGTCCCTTCCAACCCAACACATTCTAGGCAGGTTTCAAAAGCCCCCCGTGGCACAACACCCGTAGCTACTCTGGCACGCACACACATCTGTATCATAAACCAAACCACACTCCAGTCCCTTCCTGTCCTCTTTCTGTAGTCACGGTGGCAGCAGTAGTGACTTTCTGGTTGGCAAAGGTGATGGATGCCATAATAATTAGTATTTAAGGCTTTTTAACAGCACAGGAAAGCTGCATCATAAGGAATTTTTAGGGATTCTGTCAAATAATCAGTTTTGTTTACCTCTTGCCTAAGAGCCCAAAGCAAGGTAACGGCAAGAATGTGGAAGGGATTGAAGCTGATAATGGCACTGCACTTGCAGCACAGGCAGAAGCTTCAGGTACGCAGTTAGTGAAGGCTACACTTTCAAAATTAAGTAACTAAGTCTCTCAAGCAGTTAATAAATAACTTGCCAATTGGTTCATCTGAGCTGACAGAACATGTGGCTACAAGTCAAAATGCTCTAGTGGCTCTGTATATTGTCCTTGGAGGAGTTACTGCTTTTCTTTATGCAACAGTCAAGGAGTTGCTGCCAACCCTACCTCAACGAGGCAGTTTTGTGTCTGGGGCTTTTGTGCTTGGGTTTGTGTGTGCACGTAGTGTTTTGTTGGGTTATTTTTGTCTATTTGTTTAAAAAAAAAAAAATAATCATCACCCTCTCCTTTCCCCACTGTTGCTGCTTTTGTGAAAGAGGAAGAACTGTGCAGCAGCCTCCTTCAGCAGTGACCTAACCCTGCTGCAGCACTCACCAATTACAGGGCTCTCTATTAGCTGGGATGCATGTGCTTACATTTCATGCTTTATTTCATTAAGACTAACTAAATCTCTCTCTTACTAGTTTATATAAGGTCCAGGTCCATCAAGAGTAGCCAAGAGGTTCCTGTTTATATGTAGACACAGCTCCCTGTTTCCCAATAGAATTGCCTGAACTTAACCTCCTAAAAAAAAGGGAAAAAAAGGCAGCACTAAGGCTACACCACTTACATACACGTGCTCTATCCAGCTTAAATAACACCAGAAAAACAAGCCAAGGGAACAGTTGATCCCTAACATCTGTGTGACACAGCAGCACTAGTGTTAGGATGTTGCCACAGCAACCTGGGAGCTGCTGCAAGGTGACAGCAGGCTGTATGCTCAGAAACCAGACACACATCTGGTAAGAGAACACACATCTGGTAAGGGAACCACATCAGACATCGTCCCAGCCGTGCCCTGGAGTGCCCGGGACAGCGCTGGGGCCCATCTGCCCACAGAAGGTGACGCTGCCTCAGGGGACTGATCCTGAACCCCCCTGCCTCACAGCTGTGGGCAGCATTTAGAAAAGGAGCTGTTGGGAGGGAGGTGACCTTCTTCCCTCCCTTTAAAGGTCACGCTAGCATTAAAAGCTTTACCCTGCCCCCGCCTCCCTAGGCTAGTGCCACGCAGCTGTCTGCTGCCCCGCCGCTGTGATTTCCATCACTGGATTAATTACAGAGTGTTAACAGAGTATTGGTACCTTGCTGAAAAGGAAATCAAACTTCAAGTACAGCACAGGTGGCCAGCACAAGTCTGTAGGCTCTCTGCTTTGGCTCTTGCTTTCTCAACATCTGTTTTCTGCTCCAGAATAAGAGATGAGGTCTAGCTTCTTAGCAAGACTACAACCTCCAAAACAGGCAAGTTCAGCTCCGGCTGTTAACAGTTACAAAAGTACGAAGTCGTGATCTCCTCAGGCAAGAAGATGAGGCTTTGAGCCAGCCCAGAATTACACATCCCTAGGATAGCTTTAAGAAAGCGGCACGGCACCACTGCGAGATGGACAGCGCAGAGGTGCCAGACTCGTGAGACCCACAGACAAGCCAGAGCAACCAGAGATGGTTTCTGGCAGGTAACACAACTCCCGAGCAGACGCTCTGAGGTCCAAAACCCACTACTACAATAATCAGAACAGATGACAGGGTAGGACGGCGATCTGCAGCCAGACAAAAATATTTCCTCGCAGCACCAAGCCTGCGTAATCCAGCAAACTGTGAACGTTAAACACAGTGACAGCAGTGAAGAGCTCAAGTGTTTCCCATGTTCTGAAGAGGAAGATCTGGGGAGAGAGGCCTGTGCAGCTGGTGCTCACGCCCCTGAAAAAACCAGATCTTTCCTCCTCACATTCACTTACAGGTGATAAAACCTCTCTACAGGCTACAACTGCACCCGGACAGCTGGACAAACCCCAGCCTGCCACGGCTTGTCTTGCACCAAGGCAAGTGTGTCCTCATGCCTGACTTCTCCGCAAAGGAATTAGGAGGTATTTTAGGGTGCTGCTGCGTTCTTACGGGTGGAAGGGTTCAGGCACGGGAAGGCTGCAGAGAAGCTGCATGAAGCCCAACTACCCGTTAGCGCTGAGCCCAGCCGGGCAGCATCCCCAATGCATCTCTCTCCACGACTTCTCTGTCAAACTCCCCGTAAAGGCTCCTATTACTTTCAAGATTTTTTCTACCTTTCCCTCCTTACTACACAGCTTTACTGGTGCCTGTGGTGGTGGGATGCACAGTGACGTGTTGTCATCTTGTTGGTGAAGAAATCCTTTGCGAGAATGTTTCTTTACAGCTGTGAGCCGAGTGCTCTAAGGATTATCCCAGGGATAAGTCCACTGAGAAAGCTGTTCTTTTGGATTCTGCCCCATGTATTGCAGAGGCACTCTGATGCTTCTAGCATGTACTTCAACATCTGCCTGTAAAAACATCAGAGGAAAATAGAGAATATGCTCCCACGCATTAAGTCAGACAAGAGGTAACACTCTATGTCTGTGGTTCCCTAAATAAATAAAAAAATAAAATCATATATCAGCAGCCGGACACTGCTAGAAACAGATAGGATTTCTAAAGAAATAAGCCTGACTAAAAACACCCCTAGGACCAAAGCACCAAGCACTCCAAAGCGCAACACTGAAACAATCAGGATTTGTGTGGGTTGAAAAAATCTCCAGAATTCAAAGCTTTCAGTTTGAGAAACAGTTCCTGGCTTTGGGACAAAAAGGGTCTGTCATGTGGTATAAACACCAGAATCCTCTATAAACAGCTGACCACACAGACAGCAGAACACCAAGCATTTGCGAGCGTTGCCAACAGCTCGTCCGCCCCGCAGCGTTCAATTTGCTGCGCTCGAAGCGGGCAGAGGGGAAAGTTGTCACACTGCAGAACACGAGTGTCTCAGGACTCCTGGAAAGCACGCCCTGATGCTGAGAGAGGTCAAAAAATCACTAAGAAGACATGAGGATTTTAGCTATTTGATAGTTTAATTTCTATCAAAGCCCAATCTTAATTTCAAATTCTCTTTTTTTTTTCTATCAAAGCCAAAGAATCTGTAAAACAGGCTCCGCAACATAACAGAAGACCCTACAAATCCCATAGCAGATTATCTTTCAAGAATTCAGCATGATCTTAAGACAGAACTAAAAAACTGACTTGCTTTGGAAAAGATGTAAAATGACTGTGCCTGATGACGGGTTATAACCAATTTATCATATTATCCTGTTAAGTGAAAAAAAATAATAAACAAAATAAGGACCACAAAAGTCCTTTCCCTCACAGAGCAAGAGACAACAGCAACGTACTCGCCAGAGAGAACTATTTCAGAGAACAAAAATCATAACATAAGCACCACAAAGGAGAAGACACAAGCAGTTAGAAAGCTGTTTAAAAACAGCTGAGCCAGCTTTTTCAGTGGAAGTCCAGCAACGTGAGCAGCCAAGGAAGAAAACAAGGGCACGGTGCACACTGCTAACAGCAGAGTGAGCTGCCACCCACCAGCCAGCTCTGCTTCAGTCAGAGGGCGGCCAGGCGCTGTCCATCCTATTCCAAGCACACAAGCGGCCCCGACCCAGACTTCAGACGGTAACTTTGCAACCCACCAGAAGAAGGGCAAGAATGCATCTGACGTCACATTTCAGTGAAGCTCGAGGTACAGACTTTTGATATTTGAAACCCAAACACCAGCCGGTTCACGGAGTTCCAAGGGCCCTTTGGGGCAGAGTTACAAACAAGCAGTATAACATCAGCCTAGAGCAGGGTCTTCAGCTTCAATTTTTTATTTATTTTTTTTTTAACAAGACAGTTCCCACATCTGGAAATGAAGGGTCTAGAGAGAAGCAGTAAAAAAAAAAAAAAGTAGCAACAAAATTGCAAAGTGGTTTCGGAATTGCTTCTGAAGCGTGATGCACTTCGAAGTTTCCTCATTCACAACCTTCATCCACCCTACGTATGCAAAACCCGACATCGCCACTTCACTGTCACAGTCACTTCACAGTCCAGGACAGAAATTGAGAGAGCTGCTTGGTCCAGTTAACAGACAAGAAAATCCTTAACCTGCTGGCTCTTCATCCATCCTATTTTCAAAAGAGACCCGCTCCTTCATTTCCCGCTGAAACACATCCACAATACGACATGACCTATTAGTCCACAGCAGCAAAGGAATTCTAACACACATTCACCTGAACAAAAGAAAACTTTTGTGGTTTATTTATACACGTTCCTCTATCCAACAAGAGGACAGACAGTCAAACTGCCAAGCTGTTCGAGAAATTCAATCAATTTATTCCCAGAATCCTAAAACACAGCAGACTATTGCCAAAGCACAGGGAATGACACCCAAGAGATGTTTCTCTTAATAGAAATATTTATTGAAGCCTGTTCTGCATTTTACACCAGTCCTGACAGTGGGTGTGCCTTTCCCAACCCCCTTTAGTCAATTTATTTATTTTTAATAATCACAAATGCTTTTTACCAAAAGACACAACCGACTGAAGAGCCAGATCAAAGATGACGCACACATCCACACTTAACCAAGAGGAAAAAAATTCTTTTGGGGAACAATATTCCTGAAACTAAAAGATTTTCACCAGCATCTGTTCTTGGTTCTTATCTCCCATATGGCCTCACCTGACACTGCAAAGAATAAGAAGATTCTGGACTGCCGGAAGAGTGGAATTCTCATTCTGTCCTGTCACCAGGTGCCTGTCCAGCACGACATGTACAGCATCTGGACTGCTGGCTAAATACAGGAGGAAAAGCAACAAGCAATCAAAACCATTCAGTATAGTTCCTCCAGCTTGAAGTAATGAGGCATTGGCTGAACTAAAAGACAACCCCAAAATCCAGAAGTTAATCTCTCCTGGCAGAGCACCCGAAATGGGAATGCAAGATGAGCTGTGCTGTCCAGAGCCCTGTTCAGCCACGTAAAACCGGCACACAAACATTCGTCTCCAAAAACACAACCACAAAACGCTAAGTCCTGGACAACAAGAGCGTGTGACGTACCACTAAACGTAGCTCCAGCATCTTTCACGAAATCTTCCACAATAATGGATAAGCTGGCAAAATTCGGCTGCCTTACTAGTTCGTACACAGAGGGCTGAAAAAGATCAAAAGGAAGTAAGTCTGTCTTGTTTTTTAATAAAAAAGCCAAGCAAAACCAACCAAATAACCACAAGCAGCTTGTACAGATTTTCTGCAGAAAGCAAATGGGAAATTCTTACGTGAGCTAAGTAAAGAGAAAGAACACCAAGCAAGTTCTGCACAAGTGCTGGACACTGAAGAGCGTGCACACGATTAACTTCACGAAACCACAGACCTGTCTGGCTGCTGGGCACAACCACTTGGACACAAATGCTGTGGCACTTGCAGAGCCCAAATAACAGCACTCCACTCTGCCCTGAGTATGGGAAGCCCTAAATCAGTTTTTATACGCGCAGGAGGAAATGGAATTTTTTGGTTTCCATAGCAACTTACTTAAAATATTTTATGATGGATTGTAATGCCAAATACCAGCACATCAGGACTTTTTTTGAATCCCATAAACTTAAAATTTCTTAACTCTGCACATAAATTTTCAACTCTAGAAATTGTACTACAGGGGTCTGCATTGTCTTGGCACAGAGGAGTAACTGCCACAGAAACAGTGTGTGAGGTCAGAGGTATGACTGTACATAAACAAAACATCGACAGCACCTGGTTATTTTTTGAATTACAAGCCAGTTTGTGCAAAGAGCCTCTTTTCCTAACACTTCTTCTACCTCTCAAAATGAAAGAGCACCTTAAGAAATACAGCTGAACTCCACCATTCATGACACCAATCCCAGTAATTCTGAGAAGCCCTCAACTACGAATCTCGAGAGCTGCAAGTGTCATTTCCAGCATTTTATCGAGTCAGTTTGAAGCTTACTGAAGGAAAGCCCTCTCTGTGACAGCTAAGCACCTGAAATCACAGGCCCCCACAGGGCAAAAAAGCCCCCAAACACCAAAAGTCAGGTGAAAGCTCAACCTACCCCGGTCAGGCTGTATCCCTGAAACACCCAGGATTTATCCTCATTCGTGGCACAACACAGCGCTGCGACTCCGTGTCCAACGGCACAGATGGGCTCTAGAGAAAAACCAAAGCATCTCTGAGCTGTGTGAGCACCCTCAAACAGCCCAAACACACAAACGTTCGCGAGATTTTCACATGACAGCGATCTGCCCTCCTGCAGTAACATCACACGGCGCTGTTTGCACTTGCCCAGGCTGCAAGGTTTTTCCTGAAGGTTACAACAGAAATTGCCCCAGCCTCGCCAAGTGTTACAAGCTGTTAACTTCAAGTCCAGAGACAGCATGGAAGAGAAACACAGGTACTCCGATGTTAAATGAGAAGCACACACAAGTTTCAGTTAACCTCAGCCTTAATAATCATCCTTGTACATTCCACATTTGGCCTCAAACCTTGAATCGCGGAGAAAGCAATTTCTTCACCCCTGTAAGGCAGAGAACCCTCCTCTGAGATAACCACCGAAAAGCTGCTGATTATTTTATATATCTTTACATAAAGGGGATACTTCTTAAGAGAAGACACACTTCTCTGAAGCAGCGCTCTCCAGTTCTAACTTCTTTTCAGCATTTTTAATAAGCCACTGGAAGGTCTTATGCGAACAGTACAGCAGCACTATTTTATTTAACAACAACAACAAAAAAATCACGATGTTCACCTACTATTCTCAGTGCTGAAGTGCTGCAGTATCTTCGCCAGGTACCCGCTGCTGGCAAGGTCAGTCATAGCCCCGGGGCAGTTCGGAATCAGCAACGCGTGGTATCGAGCGCCTAGTAAGGACAAAAAGATAAACTACTTGTACAGACAGCAAATTCAAAAATGTCTGACCATAAATTCATTTCAGGTTTGCCAAAATTAGGACAATAGCGCATAAGCCAGTGCAAAACTGTACGAACTAAAGAAACTAACAGATCTAGGCAGAGTAAAGAAAAAGGCCATTTTCAGCACCAAAAATGCAAACATTTAATGAGACATTCCTGGGCAAAGCTTGAAACTGCTGTGTCTGCTGGCTCTTACTTTAGCAAAAAAACTTTTAAAAGTAACAATATATACTGTATATATACACAAGAGACAATATATATACACACACAGCGTGTGCGTGTGTATATATCTATATATATAGTGTATACATATAATAAGAGAGAATCACCAATCCAAGATAAATAAGAAAATAACAGTAGCAGCAGGACTTCCTCTTAAAACACAAGTTTTATGCCTTTTCCATGTAGCTCTTCTCTAAAGACCTAACACTAACAAACACTCAATTCCCTGACAAACACAGGTGACACAGGGGCCAACAGCAAAGCCCTCACCATCAATGGACTCCAACTTGGCGGGGTTGGCATACGACTTCATCCGGAAGTCCTGGATCCAGCGCATGTTGCTCTCGCTCACATCCACAAAATCAATTGGCTTCCCCTAAGGAAAACACAGTTTGAAGGCTGAGGTTCGGCTCACCACACAGACAGCCGCTACGCTTCTTGACGTGTGACTGTTGGAGATGAAACTACTTTAGTCGTAGAATATTAGAATTAACTGTGGGATCGCTTAAAATTACCACGAATTGAAATTTGCTTTGTGTTATGAGTGACGTTGCTTAGCATGAGTAGCCAGATTAGCTCAAGCCTTAGGCCACAGACTGGGGAGTGTTACCTAAATAGTGCTGAGCTTAGGCTGAAGAAAGGCCCAGAAACCAGCGCTAACGAGAAAGAGAAGATCAACAGAAACCGCATCCTCGAGATAAGAAAAGAATGCCCACCTGGAGACAGAGAAAGGATCCAGTGAGGAACAAGAAGACCCCAGACCCAAATATTACTATTGGCCAGACCCATCACGTGAGGGGAATGTGAACGTGGATTGTCAGGGTATCACTGCTGAGGGGTTTCTGCACTCAGGGCCCCTCTCGGAGCCGAAATAAAGTGACTCTGTGGCAGAACCCAGGGTCAATATTCTTCTTGACGGGGGGCTCAGCATGGCTCCAGCCGCACCGAGGAAGTTTGGAGAGCAAGGGGGTCTGGGCTGAATCTCACAATTTGCTGGGAGCATTCTCCCAGACTCTTCTTAACCACATGGGATTTCAAGATACTTCAGCTCTCAAACACCTGAGGTTTCCCACTCTTCCCACTGAAGTAATTCTTCCAACTGCTCTCGCTCTGCTTTGCAGACTACAGATACCTGACTGGGAGATTCAGAGGCATACTACAGGAAACGTGCTTTAAGAAAACAAAATTTTAATTGAAACCCAGTCCCTTAGTTCGTAAAGGCAATAAAACACCTCTGAAAAGCGAGCTTAGTATGATTCTCTGTCAGTCTGAGCCACCACCTGGCTTCAGGCTGAAATGCACCTGCCCTCGCTAGCGTATTGGCTGGACTCGATGCTCTTAGAGGCCTTTTCCAACCTAAAGGTTGTGTTTTTTCCAACCTCAAACGATTTCAACGTCCCGTTCTTGACTTACCCCGGGCGTCGCCACTTGGAGGTTGAAGGCGGAGCTCGTCAGGGTGAAGCAGTGCAGGAAGGACTGGGCCGACACACCTGAAAAACACGGCCCAGCAGCCTCAGCACACACGCTGCG